AAAAAAAAAAAGAAAAAAAGAAAAATATGAACAAATTTGTTGAAGCCTATTTTTTTTTCTTTTCTTTTACTTTCTTTCTTTCTTTCGTACGATTGTACGAGACAGAAAAATAATATTAAACACTTTATAAGCATTAAAATGAATTTTATCATCACCGTATATTTTTTCTTTTGTTTTGTATTTTGTGTTAATGCGTTTGCGTGTGTGTATTTGTTCACAGTCTCGACAAAAGCACTGGCAGGCGCGAAAAGCCTCGGAGGATTTTTATACAGCGCTGTTAACAAAGCTGGCAAAACAGTCGTCGAGGCAAGCGTGAAAATCAAGAAGACGGTGGAAGAAAACGTGAGTTTTATTAAATAATATATCTCTTTTTTTTTTTTTTTTTTTTTTTTTCTTCATTTCCATTTTTCACATTGAAATTATTATTATAATATAGGTGAGGAGGGGGGGGGGGGGGGGATCAACAGTCGATGAAAAATTGATCGTTGATTTTGTAAAATAATAATTTCAATGTAGTGTCGACAATTTTTTCTTTTTCTAATCTTACATGTCAAATATTTGTTGATTAAAAATTTATATTTTTATTATAGAACACAAAAAAAAGATGTTCGATCAATCCTTAAATAGATTCTCGATTCACTAGATTCATACAAGATTTCGTTTCTTATTAGTTATATTATTTTTGTTGTTGTTGTTGTTGTTGTTGTTGTAATTATTGCAGTGACTTTTTAATAGGATTGATTTATTAATTGATGCATATATATGCACGATATGTTTTTAATAATTATTCAGATATTATACGAATTTTATTTTTACTCGTATAGGTTACAATTATTAGTATCAGTGTTATATAATATTTTTTTATTATTTTTTATATTATTTTTATATATACGAGAGTTTAACAAAAAAATACAATTTTCTTGCTCTACGTGTGTGTGTGTTTTAATTAACACACAGTCAACTAAATCATATATTTTCTATAATGATCAAAACCTATGAAATATTTGCCCATTATACACATTACTTGTTATA